TCTCTGCATTCTTTAGTTATCGGCATGAACAAAAAAAAACGAACATTTCACTAGTCGAGAAGCAAAATTTGGTGCTCATGCATTGACCAATTGCTTTTTTGTACTAGATTTTCTTCTTCAGAAAAGAAAACTTCTTATTGATAACTTAACAGCCAATAGAAGCGAGTATATTTACTTGTCAATACCTCTACATTGAGTCGATCTAACAGGCAACAATAATAGCTCTAGAAAAACTATGATAGTCTCTATTGAAATATCTAAAAAATACGTCAATTTATTGGCAACCAAGAAAATTTTTCACTTGAAACAGATTTGAACTCGTTTCTTCTGATTAACTCTTTAGAATTATTGACCAATTTATGGAGAGGTATGTAATTCTTACTCTTCATCTACTTTTATCTATCGACGTAGGGTACTCTATTGATTGGTGATCAAATAAAATCAATTTTTACAATCCTACCCCGTGCTGTGGTTGTTGTTTTTGATTCAGAAGAACTTAAACATAAAGAGAACAGATTATCGATTATTATACTGTCTATGATGCAAAAATACCTGCCAATTGGTTTTAGTGGTGCTGGCACTTTTGTTACTGCTGCTGCTGGAACTTTTGTCGCAGATGTCTAGAGAAAAAAAATGCATGACTATATGTGTTAATGAATATGTAATAGATGTAAGGTCTTACTGTTGGTACAAGTTCAATCAGGGGAAATGATGGTTGAATTTCTTTGAGTTGTATGAGATAAAGATCTTTACCTTGACTAAGACATGCTTCGACTTTAAATTGTCTTGCGGCTGGAAGAAGAATTTCATCTTCAGCTTTAAAACAGGAGTATTCTCGGATATCTTTGCCACTATTACATTCAATCATAAAGAAAGTTCTTGGACCTGTTGTACCCAAAAATTGTTCATTCTGGAGTACACTTATCTTGGATGTACAAGAACTGAAACCCCACCAAACAAATGTTTTTCCTTCTGGGTATTCTTTTCTCATGTCACGTTTAACTCCACGATAAACATTAGAAACAGATGATGGCAGTTGAGCCAGTGCAGTAAGAATCAGCCGGAGATAAAGAAACCACGGTTTCACTTTTTGCCGATTTTCATTTCGTAGTGTCTGATTTAATACATAATACAGACATTCTTCTTGAGGCTCCCATTCCATTGAATAGAGCGTGATTGAGGCTGCTTGATCTATGGGTAACCCTTTTGGTGAAAGCTCTGCACATTTCATTTTTGCCATATAGGCCATTCGTTTCACATCAGGTACATACGAAACGATAGGTTCCACAGCATCTTCAAGTGAAACAAGAGGCTTTTTTTCATATCCTTGAATCGGCATTAACATTCGGCAAGGTTCTCCAGCGATATCCGAAAAACGTTGTGTGTGTGTTGGTTCTTCATCAATGTCGACGTATTTTGAAGCCATTTTCGAATATGTAATGAAGATTTTGACCGAATTTATTGATAACGTTTGTCAAATAAAAACTAAAAAAAACTAAATACTATTAGCTTATCGTGTTTAAATATGCACACTCTTAATGTGGAAGAATATCTCGCAAGAAAAAACATACGTATAGTGACTATCAACAGATATAATATTCTGTTAAAGATACAAAAAAACAAATCGTGTTCATCTTAATTTTCTGTATTTCTGAGGGAATTCTGGTAGGAACAACACGACAGATTCTCGTTGAAGCTATTAATATTAGAAACATGTCAACTAAATGGAAATCTGGTCAAATAAAATCTAGAAAAAGTTCAAGTCATTCTCCTAAGATTCCTCAAGAAGCTGATCATAATCCTAGGAAATATAATGATCTTTTCATGTATCAATCAAGATTGAGCTTGGAAGTTTGGTCGTATCTATTCAAACGATTTTTCCCTTTCTTCATTACTTTTTAAGAAACAAAATCAAACCTATGGCTGGCTATAAAATTGTCTCATAAAACACTTATGTTTTTAATCATGAATTGATATCATGAATTTAAGATCCTTCTTTGGCGACTTGGAAGTGATAAGATTTTTTCTTGATTAAAAAAGAACCATCTTCATCGATCAATTTTTAGTTTTTGAAAAATTTTCGACACGAGTACTTATTTCATTTCCGCATACAGATATAAGATAAAATCGCGCACGATTCAATATAATTCCAACTGATTTCTCTCTCTGTCTTAGTCTATCGCTATTGCCCAATATTTTGAAAAATGGAAACCAAGCGAGAATTCAGTGAGAGATTCGTAGTTCGAAGACTGTGCGACTAGCCTCATTATAATTACATTCATCTTGAGGCGTTTAGAGAATGCTAGAATACTATGTTCTCTTTTCTTCGATGATATTCCATGATTAGTAACGATAAGAAAAATGAAAAAAACGACACTTGTGTGCCAAAACGTAGCGGAGCTGTCACACGTTCCAGTATACATCTCTGCAATGTTTTGCAAACTTCCCAAGACTCCTTATTGCGTTATCTCATACTTCAAAGCGTTCTGAAAGAACATAAAAAAAGAACGAATTATAGCTTGGAAAACGTGTTTATAGAGTGAAAAGATGACAATGCACATGATGCACAGGACAGCATGGAATAGTTTTGTAGAACTTTGATGTGTACTTATTATATATTCGGGTGACTGTAGTCATTTCATATAGAACCTATTGTTTCAAGGTACATAATTGTTACGAACATAACTACTATATTATACTCATCTATGGTAGTGCCAATTTCAATATTCTTTAGAAAACATCTAGACATGATATTTAACATGCAGCATAGTAATAATGATTAGTTTGATCTATGTCAGTAAGACTAGTAGTAGATCATACTGTCTTCGTTGTATATCTTTTCTTGTTCTTCTTCTCTTCCCTTCTTTTTTTTATTGTCTACTCTGATTGCTAGCCATCTTATATACATATATCAAGATAGTGTTCCGTTGTTTTTCCATGTATATACTTGCTTTAGTGTGCCCTCAAAAAAATATTAAAAAAATGAAATTAGGTTAACACCAAATATTTTACCAATCTAGCAGGAGAAAGCGAAATTCAACGTGTTTCAATTATCAACAAAGAATAACTAAACATCGACGATAACACTTTATGCGCTTAACCGAATAAATGAAGAGATCCATCTGACTGGTATTCTCAACTCGAACTGACACCTTGTATTCACAGGATTTATAGTGTGGATAAAAACCTTAACAGAGTTCTTGATATTAGATCTTTCTTCTCGAATTCATGTTCATTCTACCGAATTCTGAGTCTATTGCAGGATATTACCAAAAACTGCTTTATTACAACAGCTTCAAAAACAGTCCATTTTTAGGTATTCGATATATTAAGAAGAAATTATCAATTCGAGCTGAAACTTTCAGACTGTCATAAGGACCATAAGTTCTATTATTGTGAAAAATTTTCAAAAGAATTTCCTTGTTACTATTTTTTTCGTAATATTTTGACATAAGCTGAAAATTCGCTAAAACTGACATGACTCGAGAAGAAAGACCTAATTTCACGAAACCTTTTAGGGGTTTTACCTACACTATGGGGGCTCTCAATGCAAAATATGAGTTCAGGCGGAGAATATCAGTCGTATGGGTTTCCTCGTAACACATCAAGCATTGCTCTGCAAGTTTCACCTAAAAATCGGAAACAAGCAAATGGGTGTAGGTAGATGTGGGGTGTGGGTATGGATGTGGGTGTCTGGGTGTGGGTGTGGGTATGGATGTGGGTGTCTGGGTGCGGGTATGGATGTGGGTGTCTGGGTGTGGGTGTGGGTATGGATGTGGGTGTCTGGGTGTGGGTATGGATGTGGGTGTCTGGGTGTGGGTGTGGGTATGGATGTGAGTGTCTGGGTGTGGGTGTGAGTATGGATGTGGGTGTCTGGGTATGGGTGTCTGGGTGCGGGTATGGATGTGGGTGTCTGGGTGTGGGTATGGATGTGGGTATGGATGTGGGTGTGGGATGGGTGTGGGGTGTGTGTCTG